TAGCGAAGGATATTGGACTCGAGACAACACAAGCTCAACTTCACAATGAAGGGGCGACTGACTGTCAACAAACAACTTTTCAGTTTCATTAAGAGTCAATTTCAACTTCACAGCGAAGTATATTGGACTCGAGACAACACAAGCTCAACTTCACAGCGAAAGGGCGACTGACTGTCAACAAACAACTTTTCAGTTTCATTCAGAGTCAATTTCAACTTCACAGCGAAGGATATTGGACTCGAGACAACACAAGCTCAACTTCACAGCGAAGGGGCGACTGACTGTCAACAAACAACTTTTCAGTTTCATTCATAGTCAATTTCAACTTCGCAGCGAAGAATATTGGACTCGAGACAACATAAGCTCAACTTCACTACGAAGGGGCGGTTGGCTGTCAACAAACAACTTTCCAGTTTCAGAGTCAAATTCAACTTAACGACGAAGGATATTGGCCTCGAAACAACACAAATATTTGGATTTCAACTTCACGATGAAGGATATCAAATTTGAGGCTTAATTGCACAACGAATGGGTCATCCACGGTTTCAACTTCACGACAAAGGGAATCGTGCCCACCAAAGGCCTTCGAGTTCAACTACGCTCAGTTCCAAGACACATCATTTGCAGCATAACTTAAGTCAAGAATGGTTATCTGCCAACCGAAGACCCTCGAGTTCGATTACACTCAGCTTCGAGGGCACATCATTTACAGCATAACTCAAGGCTAGAAGAGTTATCTGTGACCAAAAGACCTTCGAGTTTGACTACGCTCAGCTCCAAAGCATATCATTTGTAGCATAACTTAAGTCGAGAAGGGTTATCTGCCAACCAAAGACCTTCGAGTTCGACTACGCTCAGCTCTAAGGCACATCATTTGCAGCATAGCTTAAGTCAAGAAGGGTTATCTGCCAAAGACCCTCGAGTTCGATTACACTCAGCTCCAAGGCATATCATTTGCAGCATAACTTAAGTCGAAAAGGGTTATCTGCCAACCAAAGACCTTCGAGTTCGACTACGCTCAGCTCCAAGGCACATCATTTGCAGCATAACTCAAGGCTAGAAGGGTTATATGTGACCAAAATACTTTCGAGTTCGACTATACTCAGCTCCAAGGCATATCATTTGCACCATAACTTAAGTCGAGAAGGGTTATCTGCCAACCAAAGACCTTCTAGTTCGACTACGCTCAGCTCAAAGGCACCATCATTTGCAGCATAGCTCAAGGAAAAAAGGGCTATCTGCCAAAGACCTTCGAGTTCGATTCCATTCAGCTCGAGGGCGTATCAACCGTGTTGCATCAGCAATGAACTACTTTCCGGTCAAATTTTTACACCCAGGTCTGTAAATCGAGAAGAAGACCAAGGTCGACCAAGATTGGCAACAAAGAGTCACTTTTTGATCCCCACGATTTAAACTTCAAGAAGAATGATATCGTGCCCAATGGATAGACTTAGTGTCACAATAAACACTATCAAGTCTCAAATCAAAGAGAACCGGACAAAAACTGGTTGTCTTTTTCATCTTTGCCCTATTATTATTAACACAAAAATGTACAAAGAGGGGCAGCTGTAGACACTTATTTTTGTCTGAGTCTACAAAAATATTTTATTATATTATATATATATTTATTATTATTATTATTATTATTATATTTTTATTTTATTATTTTTGTAGGCCAGCACTCAACAACCTCAATTTACTAAGATTCAGAAAATAAACCAATATATTTGAGTCCTATTGAAACACTAAAACTAATGTATTTAAGTTATATTGAAACACTAAAATCGAAGCATTTTGAGTCCAAGTAGGACTCTAAATCTGAGCTAAAAATAAGTTTCTTTAGACTATAAATAGACTCATGCATCAAGAGGAAAGGACACAGAGAAAAACGTGAAACCAAAATCAGAGGAAGGGGCAACGATTTGGAAAAACTAAGGGAAGAAAATGACAAAAAATAGGCGTGGAGGATCCAAAGCCAGTATCTAAAAGCACGAAGAGTGGCAGAACATTTTCATTGCAAATTCAATTTCTCTACACGCAAAAACATGAGAGATGTAACAACTTTTGACTTATTCTTTTTATTTCACTTTTTATTTATTTACTTTATATATATTTTTCATTTTCTCCTAATTTTAATATTTTTTATTTCTTTTTTACATTGTATATATATATATTCATTTTTATTAATATTATTATATTAATATTTTTATTATTCTTTTCTCATGTTTATTTTAATTTTTACAATCCAACACTTTTGACTTTTTAGGGATACTTTCAATCGATCAAAGATAATTAATTCGATTTGAAATTTTAAATTTCAATTTCAATTTTTATTTTTGCGATTAAGACAACCGATAAATTAATTGGTACCGAAAGGGCGGTTCAAGGGTGCTAATTCTTCCTTGACCGTAACCGACTCCCGAACTCGATACGTTTCTGGTACAACACATATCAGGTAAGATGGTGTCCGACCTACCTAAATTCGTTTTAAATGGTTGGTGGCGACTCCAATTCTTTTAATCCAAGTCGAAGCCCAATTTGGGCCCAACCGAAAGACGGTGCCGACATGATCACAGATGACGAGGTGAGTTAGGTCCATCAAATAAATTTTTTTATCACGGGGGTCTATCTCAGCCTTTTAAGCAATGTTATCAAAATCAGACCGGACTGGCGGATTCGACCGGTTGAACCTGGAATCGGTTGCCTGTCCAGTCCGATCAGCCTCCAAAACCAATTTTACAATGAACCGCTAAAGAACTGGTAGTACCGGTTGGGAATCGGCAAAATCGGTGTGAACCGACGTTTCTAATTTTTTTTAAATTAAACCAAACGACGTTGTTTGTTATTATTTTTTCAGTCCCAAATTTATTTTAGTTATATAATTATCATTAAAAAACAATGAAGGTTAATTTTGCTTGTTTATTTTAGTTATATAATTATATTTATTATTTAATATGTTTTACACTTTTACTTTTAATTGTTAAGTATTGTTTGAGAATTTAAATTTAACTTTGTATTTATTTATCATATTGTTAGGTGATGAAGATCTTGATGCTGTGTACTTTCAAGTTCAAAGTGATGATATGAAGTTTTAAGTTCAAAGTGGTGATGGCGGTGGTAGTTCAACTAATGAAGAAGATTTTCACAATATTTTAGAATTTGAGGGAATCAATTTCAATGAATATTATGATGATTGATACTTGTATCAATTATGTATTTTTTTTATTTAGTTGTTAATGAATTTAATTAGGTATTGACCTAAATATTATGTTGCAGTTGATTTGAATAATTTTGTTTCACTTGATATTATGATATTTAACTTATATATGTTATGACTTGTGATATTTTTATGCATTTTAATATTGTGAACTTAAAAAGAGTGTTATATATATATATATAATATTGTTTTGAATATTATGTAAAAATTTAAAAAAATATTATTTTATATAAACCGATTCAACAGTGGTTTAACCTGGTTGAACCAGTGAACCAGTACCTTCACCGGTTTAATATCCGATCCAGTTTTAAAAACATTGCTTTTAAGTAAGCGTAAAAAACTAATGCACAGTTTTCCCTTAAATTATAGTATCACTCTTGTATTAATGTTGTTGTTGTTCATCCTAAAGTTGAATTTTGTTACAGGTTTTATCTCTAAGATGACAGACATTTAAGGGGGGAAAACAAGTTCCACGTGACTTCTTCAACACAATTCCTTTTCTTCGATTCTTCTTCGATTCTAGGTAAGACGATGAAGATGAGGATTCTAAGTCACCTTGAACAAAGATCTAGACAGGTGGTTGTCCGCCTCTACTTCATCCATGGCGTAAAATGGTTGGCTCGAGAACGGTAATCTAAGATCCAACCCAGTTTGGAAAACACGTCACCAAACTTGATATACAACGGATTTATTAGTGGTGTTTTTCGAGTAAACGCCATTAATTTTGTACATCTCGTGACGATTAAAGAAATTGCACCACAAAATGATAAAACTCGCGACATTGACATGAATACTTTGCAATACTCGTGTACTTACAATCTCATTTTTACTAGAAACGTCGCAATAGACTGATATTACAATAACATTTTTAGGAAAATGTCGCTACGGACGCGTATGTTAGTTACATTTGTCTAACAAACATCGTAATATAATTTACATATTCGCAGTTTTATAATACTTTAGTGACATTTATAAAAACAAATGCCGCAATTATTTAGTCTTTTATCCCTAATTTTCTCATCGTCATTGTTACTTTTCTTTTTATACCAAAATATTTTTTCCAAGCATCGCCTACATACTCATCTCTCTACTACTCCTTCACAGAAACCCTTAGATCTGAAATGTTACGCGCCCCACCCTTTTATTTTTCGTAGATGTATTATTTTTCTTTTCACCATCAATTTTGACTGCGAGTTGAGAGATGTCTAAAAGATTAATTTGAGTCCCACATCCAATGTAAAGCCAATTATCTTTCAAAATTCCTAATAATTAATTAAAATACTATAAAAACAATGTCGTCTATTTGACAATGTAAAATGTATTAAGTCATTCAAAATAATAAATATGTATCATGTCACATAAAATGATGATATAACATATGACACATATCATATCAATACTTTAACATATAAAAAAGTATTACATCGATAATATATGTAAAGCGTTAGTCAATTAATTATTTTTATCCAATAGAATTTGTGCCGGGTAAAAATTAATATGTCAAAAAATAAAGTGTTCAAAAATAAAGAAATTAATTATTTGAATAATTTTATCATTATGACATATACATTTATTAAAGGCATATAATTTTAATAAAAATTATTTAGGTGCAATTAAAAAAGATTTTAGCTATTATTCCCATGATATTGCCCTGTTTCTAGGTAAAAATCAAGGGAAAAGAAACAAAGGTTAAGAAGGTGGAAAAGGGAGAAGCAGGGGATATTATTAAAAGAAGAAGCTAAGGTACAGTAGCAATGGCTGCATAAATCTCACAGACACTCTCATTAACACTTTTGTCGGTTTTTAGGTGCTTCAACATCAACCCCCCACTTTTCACTCTTTTATACACTCCATACAACTTTCATCTCCTCGTGGAGTCTGGGGCGCATATTAATTACTCCACATCCCCCCCCAGCATTGTCCTTTCTTCTCCCATTACTCCACCATTTTCATTTTCTAGCTAAGCTAAGCTAAAGCTAACGAAACCAGTTGAAATTTAAAGAAATTACAAGCAGCGGCAGCCCCTAATGGATCTTCACCGCATTAGCTCCTTAGCTCTTATCCTCTCTCTCATTGTCTTAACTGTGAACTCAAAAGGTTAAACCAAGCTCCTCCTTTTTCCGGGTTTCTCTCTCAGAGTCGATGCTTTTAATGCTTACACTAAAGATCCCATCTTTTTTTTTTTCGTTTTCAGGTGTATTAGGTGCTTCTTTCACATTTTTCAACCGGTGTAGCTACACCGTATGGCCTGGGATATTAGCAAATGCCGGCAGTCCTGCACTTGACAGCACCGGATTCGAGCTACCGAAAGACTCCACTCGTTCTTTTCAGGCACCAACCGGCTGGTCGGGTCGTTTCTGGGGTCGAACGGGCTGTAAATTCGACGGATCCGGTTCCGGAACCTGCGTGACTGGCGACTGCGGGTCGGGTCAGATGGAATGCAACGGACTCGGAGCTGCTCCGCCAGTAACTCTGGCCGAGTTCACTCTTGGGACAGGAGGTCAAGATTTTTACGACGTTAGCCTCGTTGATGGCTACAATATCCCAATGGTCGTGGAAGGAACCGGCGGGTCGGGTCTTTGTGCTTCCACCGGATGCACAACTGATTTAAACCGTCAATGCCCGTCGGAGCTCCGGGTCGGGGACGGTACCGCTTGCAAGAGCGCGTGCGAGGCATTCGGGAGTCCCGAGTACTGTTGCAGCGGCGCGTATGCCACACCCGCGACATGTAAGCCTTCCGTTTATTCCGAGATTTTCAAGGCCGCGTGTCCCAGATCTTACAGCTATGCATACGATGATGCCACGAGCACATTCACGTGTACCGGAGCAGATTATACGGTCACCTTTTGTCCCTCTTCTCCTAGGTAACGATCAAGAACATTATAGTTTTTTGAGCTGAATTACTCGTGAAATAAGTTACACATTTTATTTTCTAACGATGTGGGATTTTGTTCCAGTCAAAAATCTTCGAGAGATACTACGCCAGCCACGGATGCTACCCCAAGCACAGGCTCAACATCACAAGGAACAGGGACAGAACCTGGGTTAACTTACTCTGGTGATGGCTATGGATATTCGGGTTCAGGGTATTCGAACTCGGGTTATGGATACCCTGGTTCGGGTTCAAGCTCTGGGTCTGGATCAGGACAAGCCGTCATGACAGACGGGTCATGGTTAGCTGGTTTGGCAATGGGAGGTTCACCAACAACAGCTTCTCCCAGTTCTCTGTCATTTGCAGTCATGGCATCAACAGCTGTTTCAGTCATGCTTTCATTTGTTTTCTTGTAGTCCTTTCTCTATTGCGTATTATGGGTTTTGTTAAATGTGGATTCCTTACGGATTTGCAGCTTTGGATGGGGGGGGGGTTAAAATTGGGGAGCTGGGGTTGGCCTTTGTTTGAAAAAGCTGACAGATTATTGGCCCAGATTGTAAACAATCAGCTTCAGCGTTAAATACACGTTTAAAAGTGTTGTTTCAGATAACATTCTGGGAATTTGGGAGTGAAAGCAGCCCCATCAGAATCTAAATTTAGATGAACTGCTTCATATCTTGTTAGCTTTGCTTTTTCAGCTTTTGTTTCTTTTGGCGAATTGGATTGTAAAGAAGCTTGTTTGTAATGTGAAAATGTGATGGGGAAGGGTGCCCCAAGTCTCAACTTTTCTAGCTCGGCCCGTCGTAAATTTGATTCAAACGTTGGCCGAGTAATCAAGATAAATTGGAGCAAATTATCACTTAATAAAGTGGAGTGGTGGGTCTAATTTCCATTGAAAATTTTGACAAGTGCTGTACTGGGATGAGCCAGAAGTCGCAAAATTTGATCCGTATCAGCCTACTTTTTGACCGTCTTCGCCGGGACAATGATTACATATAATGGCATCTTAAAGTGATAAAATATTTATTATTATGTCCTCCATAGTTGTTTTGTTCTGGAGATGCCTAACTATACAATTTATGTTACTATTTAGATTTATTCAACCAGGGGAATCTTTGGGCCATCGAAGCCTTTATATAAATGTGCACATTTATATAAGCAGAATAAATAACTTATCAGAGGAATATCGTTCTTTAAATATTTTAGATTCAAATAGATACGTCTCCGATTATAAATACATTATAAATGATTAAAAAATATATAAACCATAATTGTGGATTTCGAATTTAAAGTGCCTATAAATAATTGCTCAATCATGACCCAAACGGGAAGCGGTGATAGGTAGGGACAGAAATTGTCGGATTTTCGATCAATTCGACTCGATCCGAAACTATACACACTCTACCTTAAAATCAATGCCGACCGGTTGAACCGTGAATCGGTGGTCTGTCCGGTCCGGTTAACTCCCAAAACCGGATTAGCACAGAATCGGTAAAGAACCGGAAGAACCGGCTGAAAACCGGGAAAACCGGGGTGAACCGGCTGAAAATCGGCAAAACCGGTTTGAACCGCCAGTTCACTTTTTTTCTTTTAAAAAAAAATATTAAACCAAACGACGTCGTTTGTTCAACGAGCCGAGTCAAATTCGAGTATTACTGAGCTCGACTCGAACTCAAAAACTTTAAAAGTAAGCTCAACTCGACTCAAAAACTCACAAGCTAAAAATTATCAACTCGAAATATAATATTAAAACTTGAAATTGAAAAGGCTCGAGCTCAAAAAAAAATTTAGAAGTTCGATTGAAGCCTAAAATTTGAGTTCAATTGAAACGAAAGAATAGTTCGCTTTGTGCTCACCAAAAGACTCAATAATTTTGAATGTCAAATTACCTCTATTATTTATAGCAGTAAGTTGTGATGTTTTTCTATGTTTCTTAGCCATGTGGGATTGTTTTGTTCTCATATTTTCTCTTTAAACTTTTGGGATACTCTTCTATGTTTCTTAGCCATGTGAGATTATTATTTTTAAACAATTAAACCAAATGACATCATTTGTTATGATTTTTTTAAGCCTAATTTTATTTTTTTGATTATAGTTATATAATTATATTTATTATTTAATATGTTTTACCTTAAATATTATGTTGTAGTTAATTTGAATCATTTTATTTCACTTGATTTTATGGTTTTTCATTTATACATGTTATGACTTGTGATATTTTTATACCTTTTAATATTGTAAACTTAAAAAAAGTGTTACATATATATTAACATTGCTTTGAATATTATGTAAAATTAAAAAAATATATTATTTTATATAAAATCCGGTTCAACAAGCGATTGAACCCGGTTGAACCAGTGAACCAGTACCTTCACCGGTTCAATGTCCGGTCCGGTTTTGAAAACATTACTTAAAATCAACCCAACCCGAATTTATAGTGATTTCGTCCGATCCGTATTTTTCCCATCCTTTTAAGATAAAACTCAAATCTAATTCGATTTGACTCGAAATAAATATATTTATAAAAAATAATTTTATTATATAAAAATAGGGATCTAATTGAAAAATAATATAAAGATTGATATTATTGCAATTATCCCTAAATATATAAGATATAGTTACATTATTTTTCGAGTTGAATAGGGTAGAGTATTTTTCATCCTAAACTCGAACCTGACCTGAACATATCTATAAAAAACTGCATTTCATCCTACCCAAATCCAAATTTCATTTTTAAAAAATCCCTAAACTATAATAAGTCAAATCAAATCAAAATTTATCGAATTTGGGTGTTGTGACCTTCCCGATAGTTGAGTAGTTTTGAAGAGCATGCACAAAGCAATGTGTGATTTAAGCTGCTTGCCGGCTTGTTTGGGGAGCACTTCCTGTTGGAGTGACAGTTGTCTAAGTTGGATGTTAACATGATGATTGATACATGATAGTCGTTTGAAATTTTGGGATCAGGTCTTATCATATCAATTAACATTGACTTCAGAATACTATTAATTTTTTAATGAAAAAATGACTAATTTATAACATAATGAATAATCGGGTGATCATCTGTAACTTTTAATATAAAGGAGAAAATTTGAATTCACTTGTTATTTATAAGATATGCGTGAATTTATTTAAATAAGTAACATTGACTTGTACTCAGACTTGAGTTATTCCATATACGAAGAAAAAGCATCATAGTAGTTGCTACAAATGAATGGAGAAGTGCTTAGTTTCATCACTACGACTGAGTGAGAAAGTAGAATCTGCCGTCTTGTTCCCAAATCCAACACTCACCTTATATTCACCCAAGAATCCATAAAAACTATACGAACCATACTCATCCGTCACCCCATTCATCTCCCCACTTTCCCATTCTTTCAAGAGTTTATCAACCACATCACCGGCTGGTAAATTCTTCAAATTCTCACCAGTCAAACACATTTGGTAACACCCTTTGGGATGAAGAGCTGTCCAAAGCATTATCCCGTTCACCGACGGATGCGAAAACCCTTCTCTCAATACCTGTTCCAGGTAAACACCCTGCAACTCTTTACCAACTTTACTGCTAATGTCTACCTCCGTTAGCCATATGGGGCGTCTCAGTGTAGCTAACTTGTCCAACACGGCTCGCATTAGAGGAGGGTTTGGTACCGTGAAATGGCTCTCCAAACCAATTCCGTTCATGTACATGCCTCCACGTTCGAGATCTCTTATCCTTTCGATGAATGTGTCGACCGTTGATTTAACGTCGCTGCAGGTTTTAACGACGTTGAATTCGTTCATGAATAGGGTTGCTAGAGGGTCCTCTTGATGTGCAGTCTGGTAGAAATGCAAGGTTGCTTGGGGTCCAAGTCGTTGCTCGTAAAAGTCCCAGTGGAGCATCTCGTTGCTGACATCCCAGTGTATGAATTCTCCCTTGTACTTGCTCATCAAGTTTTGTATCCTGGAGTCAACTGCTAATTTTAGCTCGGGTCCGGTAAGGTTCCGAACCCATGCCGGTGTGTATTTGGGGTCTTCCCAGAATATGTTGTGGCCTCTGGTTATTAATTGGTAAGCTCTAACGAACTCCAACATATGGTCTGCTGTGGTGTAGTTAGTCTTTCCTTGATCTGGTTCTGTTGCATCCCATTTCAGTTCATTTTCTAACACTGCCGCATTGAATCGTTCAACAAACCAGTTCTGCATCGTCAAAGAAGGGCACTAATTATTGATGTTATCCGATTAAAGTATCATCGTCCAACATACATTAAGACATGAATTTGAAAACATATCGTAAGCTGTAGATACCTGATAGGGCAAATTTCCAAGAATGGTGTTTGCTATTGCAGAACCAAATGGAAAATCCTTTGAGACGGGGTGTATAGTTATTGCTGCTCCTCGCAACCTATTTCCTTATTGGTCCGAGACATGTATCGTTACAACACGCTCCCTTTGCTGCAAAAATTCATTCAAAAGAGGAACATAAACTACATAAGAATACCAAGTATGGAAGATGAAGTACAAGAAAAGTGTCTGAAGAGTAATTACACTATTAATTATATCTTGCTGGTTCCTCCTCCATTCCTCATCAGTAAATGCCTGCAACGAGGAGCTAGCAACCGTTATATTGATGTCTTTACCATCTGAATTCTGCAGATCCAAGACATGGGGAAAAAGGGATCTTAGAAGCAAAATCAATGAAAACATTCATGAGCTGATCCTCAACTTTTAAAAGCCTATACATATATTGTTTTGAATGCAGGTTCACCTGGAGTAGTATTAAAGATAAAGTTGAATGTGAATCTAGAACGAATCCGCCTTTGAGAAACGACCAACATCCATCCTTAGCCAAAACAGTCCCTATGCAATCGTACGTTCTGCTCTCTGTCTTCAAGCTTGCCCTAATCAGAGCCGAATTTGAACCTTGTATTCTGATCCAAGCTGCTATGCACCAAAACATTGTAAGCTGGGGTCATATCTAGTGTAATGTTGAAAAACATGTCGGGAGACACTTATATGTGCCAAAAATCCAAACCTTAAACATTGCCACTTGTTGGGGCACGGGCGTTACAGTGTGGCAAACCAGTAAGTCACTAACAGATACATAACGGTTCACCAACGTGTTGGCGAATACATATTCGTGTTCGATATTCCTTTGGTAACATAGGTTGAGACCTTGGTATAACGAAAGGGAATGGAGAAACAGACTCGAAATCGAAGTGGAGAACTTAACTGGAGCAACAGTAAGTGTTGCCCGCAGTTAGATTGTTCAAGACAAAAGCTGGGCTGTAAAAACCAGTTGCATTTTCTCCGATAATGCTCGGTCGCATTATCGGAGGCTCATCTTTCAGAATCCCTCCTTGGTATAATGGCTCCTCCGGCTGTGCCTTACACCAACAATCAATACACAATGGTCTCTTTGAACAAACAATTTCAATATATCCACAGTTTACCTCAGAGTAAGCAGTAAAATCATATAAAGGCCTATCCGCAGCAACAAAAAGAAAAGGAACCAACTTAAGTTTTCTGAAAATCCCATTAGAATGTTTTGAACAAAGGAAAAAAGGAGATATAACCATAAGAAGCATCCTAGGAACAACAACTAAGAAGAAAGAAAAAAAGACCAGAAGCCACCAAAAACAGGATAATCTCTCATGTTTCCTATATTAAAGAACAGGTATTGCAAAAGCATCGCCATTGAACAAATGCCAAAGCTTATATTATATAGGAAAAGTAGTTCTCTTCAATGCAAACCTAAAGAATAATGGAGATTTCAAAGAGGAGGGGGAGTGTACTTAATTAAAAGGTTGCGGTGGGGATCACAAGAGAGCAGTGACAGGCCTATGAACACGCCCGTGCCTTGCTCACATGTTTTACTCGACAAGAAAAGTAGGTTTCATTTGATGTGGAGTTATATAAATAGACCAAAAGTTAATTCTTTCGAGGTTTTACAGGCTTGGACTCAACGTGATATAATGGGAGGAGTGGTTGGCCCTTGGCTTAATCTTTAGTTTGTTTTGTATTATTGAAGATTCGGATTGTTGTTAAGAATTAAATGATGAGGCAAAGTTAAGTTCTATTTTATTTTATCTAAGATTTGGTTGGGTGCAAACTCTGGTTTTTGTCTGCAAACTGAAACTTTGTGGTGTTACCATAACTTGGGTTGCTTTGGGTTTCCAAATAAGATGCCCAAATTTAGTGTTTTGTCTGCATTGATCTTTTCCCTTTTAAGATTTGTGTCAAACTCATTTTGTGGTGCCAGTAAAAAATAACTTGACCTTGGAAAGCTCTTCAAAAATGATAGAGTTGTTATAGATCGTTTTGGCTACGTACGATTGATTATTCATAATTTGATTTGCATTTAATAATAGAATCAAAATATCTTATGATATGTTTTTTCAACCGTTTGATCGATCTCTTTTTAAGGTATATCGATCCTCTTACTGTTATGATTATGTCCGTCGTTCGAATTGACTGAATATCGTCTCAACTTTCAGAAACCATCGAACGTCAGAAGACAAGGTCAAGGACAATTTTCTCCAAGGATCGAAGACGGTAATGAATGGAAAGTGACATGGAAATAGGTGTGGACATTGACACCTTCTTTGGATCAATGACTAATTCTCCATTGTCAAACCAATGTGATTTGAGGATGCTCTCATTCATCAGCTACAACTTTGCACGCGTAATTGACATTGAATGCACTCCTCTCCTCCTGTTAAGTAGATTTGAACCGACTGTTACCCATCCCTGCCGGGCCAGACGAACTCACGGGAATGGTTTATGGCTCCATGAGCAAAAACAATTACTGCATATTAGTAGATTTATATTTCTTTGCGCCATCAACTCTAATATATAGCTTGGTCATCAATCCTACATCACCAGCCTGACCTTTTGCTGCAGAATTGTCAATCACTGTCAAAATTAAGGATATATTTGAAGCTTTTGCTTATTGTCGCATTTGGTTTCGGTGATTAAAAAAGGATTTCAGTCCCAAAAAAAAAAAGACACAACAAGGGGCTCTTAGCTCAGATAAACACGAGATTTTAAAACAAAAGCCCCAAGAAACCCATACAAGCCAAGCCCTCAATAACCAGACCAAACAGTCGTAGTGAGAAGAAAAAGGGCTGCGCCACCTGTCTTGGTTGTCGGCATGCACGCCTGTCGATAGGGACCATGTCCATATAAAACTCGAGACGAAAACCGCCATGATCCATCGGTGAAACAAGAAGCCAATGCTTTCAACCGCATTAGGTTCCGCATCCATCAACGCCGGCAGAGATCCACGACCAAAACCAACTCTCGGTTTGGTTCCACTGAATAAACAGTCAAACAAAAACCAAAAGTAAAACAAATTTAAATCCAAGAAAGTGTATTTAAATAAATATATAAAGAGGTCCAAAAATTCTTTCTATTAAATATCAATCCTTTTTCTTCACAGTCGTCGTTGATTAGTCGCTGCAAATGGGCAGCACGGAAGAACTAACCGGCAACTCAACCAAACCCATTTCTCTATACGACGCCGCTTTACCAACCTCTCCTCTCCTCTTCAAATCCACCTACCCATCTCCTTCAATCGAAGAACCAGCTCAACCCGACCCATCGGAATCCGACCCAATCCAGATCACTTTCAATTCAGGTCCCAGACCTTTTAAAGATCTCCCTTTCCTCTTTCTCTTCCTTTTCTCAGTACTCTGCACTTTCGCTTTCGGTATTTTCTCAATCTTCCATCGAAACGACAACTACTCAGCGTTTCAACCTTTACCTACGATTCTAATTCCACTTCTTGCGTTCAAGACACTTTCTTTTCATCAAACCCAATATGGGTCTTTCAAAGTTCGTTCTTTTCGTCGTCAAGTTCGAGTCTTTGGGCATATGTAGTATGGACCCTTGTCATAACTTTAGTTTTAAGTGTACCCATTTGTTTCCTTTTGCTTTTCTTACTCAAACACTACACCAAACAGATCGTTTATCTTTTGCTTCCTTTCTTTGTAATCGTCCCGATTTTCTTTGATGTTTATTGGTTCGTTGCTTGTACCGTGAGCTCTTCTTGTAGCGATACTTTCCCTTTGGTCTATAGGATCTTGGTGCTTGTTTTTGTTTTACCGGGAGTTGGGGTTATTGTTTGGATCATAGTGGCTAATTGGCATCGGATCGAGTTGACTGTGAGGATCATTGGGGTTGCTTCCGATGCGCTTTCGAGGAACTTAGGATTGTTCTTGGTGATACCGTTGTTGACCGTTGGATTGGTAATTTATTATGCCCCGACTGTCGTGTTCTTGGTGTTTTCTAGGTTTAATGGGAAAATTGTAGCTAAAGAATCGAATGGGGAGTATACTTGTGTTTGGAAACAAGATAGCTGGGTGCCTGCTTATTTTACATTGGCGATTTTAACAATGTTGTGGTCATTAACCACGATGGTGGAAGCTCGGGTTTATGTTATCAGTGGCACCATTGCTCAATGGTACTTCTCAAAGGATGACGAGAAACCTCACCTGAGTATAAGAAGATCTTTGAGGTAACATCCTGCTGTTTCAGCTTTTCTGCATAAAATCTGTGCCTTTAATGTACCATGAATATAGATGGTTTGGAATTTACATTTTTTGTTTCTGATAGGATTCTTAGATTACGCATACCGGATTCTATTTGATTAATTGTCAAAGATAATGACCTTGGTGATGAGCTTAGGATAATAGTAATGGTACACAGTTGATAACATCTATTTTAGTATGGTTTTAGCTTCATGATGTATTCAATTATAATGTTTGTACTTCAAGTATGGACCATCACTGTCATGATATTTTGCTTTGGTTTGGATTTATGGATTTGGTTGGACATTATTCTGTATTTGCTTGAATGGACTGAAGAATGTATTGATGATCTGGTGCCTAGTGACACTTCAGGAGTGTATTCCTCTCTCTAATGGTGTTTATTTGTTACGTTTAATGGCGACTGACTTTTATCGTAGTATACGAAATTCAATCAGTTCCTGTATGCTTCTCTATAGCGGGTTAGATTGCCATGAAAAGAGAGTTACTTTTCTAGTTTCTTTCCTGAAGTTGCCATGTTGAATACAGCATGTTAACTTCTTTTATTCTATACACTTGCAGAAATGCATTTGGTCCTTCTTCTGGCACCATCTGTCTATCTGGACTACTTATCTGTGTTGTTCGAGTGGTACATACTGTTGTCGATAGTGCGAGAGAAGAAGATGTTCCGGGGATGGTGAATCTTGTCCTGCGGTGTTGCGTTAATACCCTATTGTCTGCGATAGAGTTTCTTAACAAGTTCACCATTAACTTTGCCGCAATAACTGGTGAGGCATACTGCACATCTGCTAGGATGACATATGAGCTTCTAAGGCGGAACCTACTCTCTGCCGCTTTTGTGGAGACCGTATCAACTCGTTTGTTAGCAGGAGTTATTCTCGTCTTCTCATCAGTTTACGCAATTGTGGTGAGTCTCCCGACACACTTCCTTGTTATCCTACTACCTCTTCATTTCCTTGAATTACCCGACAACCGCCTGATAATCCAACACATACATTGCAGGCATGTGCTATCTTAAAGGGTGTTACTGATCTAGGGGATAATGCATACATTGTCGCCGTTCTTGCCATGGTGCTGCTAATCGCAGTTCTGGGTTTCTTTGTCTGTGTGTTGGACAACGTGATCGACGCTGTTTATATCTGCTACGCGATCGATAGGGATAGAGGGGAAGTGTACAAGCAGGAGGTTCATGATTTATATGTTCAATTACCAATCACTAGATCATCCTTCCCTTCTAGAACCCTTGGTGTTTAGACATGTCTTGTTTATTTGTCATATGGTTTTGTTGTCTGTATGACGATGTTAACTGCTTTATCGGCGAAGTGTGCATAACATCATCACATTCAAACGGTGCATTGTTCACTTGTTTTTGGCTTGCTCAATAAAGGAGCTAACTGTTTCAAAACGATGGAGAAACTATTTTTTTCCTTATAAACATGCATTTTTTCACCCTTAATCTTCATACAGTAGTATCTTTGAATTAAAATTTTGTACAGAGAAAATATGGAGAAAAAAATGAGCGAAAAAAAGATTAATAGTGTCTGGTGCTGAAATTTCTCTACGTGGTTATCGCAAAGTACTGGTGCAGTGCGCAAAATCAAATAAACAATGGTAAATTACATGGTTCCTCACTCTACTTTACTTTCTCTCCTATTTTGGTCACCAAACTTTCAATTTTTCTAATTTTGTCACTGAATTTTATAGATTGAATCATTTTGCTCACTTTGCCGTTAACATTTTAATGATATTATGATGTGGCACGGGAATCAAAACATCATTTTGAAAAACGCAAATATACTCTAAAGCGACGTTTTGGTGAGTAAAATATGAGATGGAGTAAAGTTTAATGACTCATGGTGTAATTTACCCATTTTCCTAATGACTCACAGTGTAATTTACCTTTTTTCTTCTCTTCTTCATTTTCTCTCCATCGGCGACCATGTCATTTTTATTCCGACCACCATCGACCGCCGTAGATGGTGATCGTTCGGTCCCAAACTGGGATGTGTTTGTTCGTCTCGACTCCTGAGTCTGGATATGGTATTTTTTTACAGAAAAATATCCCAAAACCCATGAATTTGAACTGAAACATTTTGGTTTCCTCACTTTCAATCTCAAATTTGTTGACTTCGGGGCAACTTCCAACAAAATGGAGGTCGGATTCGAACTCACGACGTCGAGACGAAGCGACCCATCCCATTTTGGGACCAAATGGCCACCATCTACGATGGTCAACGGTTGTCGGCTGTGGCATCCGACCAACTTCTGCTTTTATTTTATTTTTTTATATTAATAATAATAAAAAATACCATGTTAGAGAGAAAACAAGATAGTGAGCAAAATGATTTAATTTGTAATGTTCAGTGAGCAAATTAGAAATATTGAAGGTTCGGTGAGCAAAATAAGAGAGATAGTAAAGTAGAGTGAGGAATGGTGTAATTTACCCAATAAACAAATTATGGCTTTTACGAGCTATTGTAGCAATGGATATGCTATGCTGAAACTTCAATTTTGATTTACCATGTTATTGCTCACTAGTGCTTCTGTGAAGGATACAACTTTTTGATTGCTATGGCGGTGTTAACTGGAGATGGGGAAGGATCTGTAACAGCAGCTGGTGTATCTGACTTTGATTTCGGTGTTGATTGCTATTATGCATGCTTCATATCTGTAGAAACAGTGACTGGGTTAGTTCAAGAGGCAAATCCCAATAACTGTTTCATCTTGCACAACGGTTGATCCGATAAAGATCGACACCGAAGCAGCCTGGCTAAGTGCTTAGACCATGACTCCTTCGAGAGGGGTCCTAACTAGGCGCAGGGGCCAGCCTTTCTTTCGACGAGTGGCTATAAATCAACTCCAAAAACAAAACATTTGCTTCACTAGATTATTAACCTCATCAACATCAAATCAAAGGACAATAAGACCATCAAGAAGAAGCTGATCACAAAGGGTCAAAACCACCCACCATATATGTTTAATCACTCTTTCCATCCACAAAAAGAAAAATGTATATTGGAGGCCAACCCACATGAGAGTCATGTCTCTCCATCCTTGGCAAAACAACTCCTGTGGGTGTTGCTAGTTAGCATTTGTACTCGTATCAGATCGGATCAAGATCGAATCGTCTTCCCAGGAAAAGTCCATTGGCAAATGGACATTCACAAATGAATGTTGAGTTGTCTCCACATTCTTTAGACAAGTTTGTGGAACAAATCAAACCCTGGGGATGTGAAATCTTGGAATTGTGGCCCTGGGGGGGCTAAAAAGTCTGCTTTGGATAAATAGATTCATTCAATTTATTTTTTCACTGTGGTGGTGGTGGGTGGTGTAGGGGGTGGGGGTGGGGGGGCATCGTCTTCTTGGCTTTCACGCAAAGAACCCTTTTGAGGAACACTATATTTATTGTGGGTGTGCGATCCTACATGGGACCATCCTATTTTTTTTTCTACTTGGTTTTGTATCATATATAAATAGATTTAACATATAAAATATAAATTACATATACTTTATTTTCATAAAAATTATCATCATGAGTCAGAAAATATTGTAAAAGAATATACATTTTACTACTAAATTACCATTCATTTAATACTGGTAAATCCATACTTCATTTCAACCCTTTTACAAACATATGTAACTATATCAACTTCCAAATTATGCATAAATATTATATGTATTATACATCACAACAGTCATATATATATATCAATCTGGAAAGAAGCTTTTGAAGAAGCTGAAATGGAAAAAGAAAAAAAAAATTTACTGCTGGAAAAGTTTAATGGATAAGCTATAATTTTGTTGATGGGCCACACATATAACCTACGAAATAATTCATATTCCATGTTGATACATTTCTGCATGTTTAGTTGTAATTATTAATGAACTTTAAGGGCAATTTCCCTCATATTTCTTTATATAAAGCCCACCGTCATTCAATTCTCATCACCTTCTGTTTCATGTTTCTGCAACCACCGAAGAAAACTGAGACATCTCAACAAACTCAATAACAATGGCGATGGCTTTCAAGATGGTAAATCCCGTTTCTTCTCTTCTCCTTTTCATTTCAGTTATAGCTTTATCTAAACTTATTCCAATGTATTTGGGGTACTTTATGATGTAATAGGCTACAACCGGGATGTGGGTCACCGATGAGTGCAAGAACTCTTTCATGGAGATGAAATGGAAGAAAGTCCACAGATATATAGTGTTCAAGATCGACGAGAAATCGAGGCTGGTGAACGTCGATAAAGTCGGCGGCCCCGGCGAAAGCTACGACGATCTTGCCGCTTCGTTGCCTACAGATGACTGCCGATACGCTGTGTTTGATTTCGATTTCGTCACCGTCGATAATTGTCGGAAAAGCAAGATCTTCTTCATTGCTTGGTCCGTCGCCTTTTCTATTTATTTTCGTTGCTAATATTTAATGCTTACATTATTAACGTCACTAAAGTTGAATGTCATAATCCTAGCAAACAGAGAGACCATATTTTATATCATAATACATGGCATATGGTACACATAGGAACAATAATTAGATTATTATATTCTCTGGTGGGGTTAATAATAAGCAAATAATTGAGACGTTGATTAGTATTTTTTAGATTATGAATTAAAAATGCTACATAATTCATGAAATGGAATCTAAGCATCTCATTGTATTATTTAATTTGGTTTAAGTAACTAATCATGATCCATTCCAATTAATGCTGGATTATAGGTCCCCGACGGCATCAAGAATTAGAGCAAAAATGTTGTATGCAACGTCCAAAGATGGGCTGAGGAGTGTGCTAGATGGCATCAGCTATGAAGTTCAAGCGACTGACCCAACTGAGATGGGGATTGATGTGATTAAAGACAAAGCTAATTAGGATTTTAATTATGGCATCTTTCTTTTAAATAACTACAACATGTGCCTTCTTTCTTTTCCCTTGTTACCTTTTTCTTTTTCTTTTTATTGCTAGACTTTTAGCATTAATATGTAAGTTAATCTTCTAATCTATACTAATCTTTTTGATGCCCTGTGCTTGCTTATTTGAGAACTAATCATCCATCGGTTTCATTTTCTTCTGTTAACTTTCATATGGCATGTTCACACAAAGGATTCAATTCTTAGTTTTTTTTTTAAGGAAACGACCCTCGTTAAAAATCCCTTCTAAGACCTGTAAGGGGAAAAGAGTGTCCTAGGATCTTGTATTACCTAGGGATGGGCACGGGGCGGGACGGGTCGGGTTTCTGGCTATCCATCCCCCGACCCGAAAACATATATGTAAATTCAGACCCCGCCCATCCGAGGAATTTTTAGACTAAAACCCCGACCCGAATATATTAATATTTTTAAAATAATATATTTTATAATATTTTTAATAATTAAATAATATATTTTAATAATATAAAAAATTCTTAAAATATTAATTATAATATATATAATGACGGAGTTTGAGTCGGTGATTTTTCACCTTAAACTCGACCCTGGCTCGCCTCAAAATTTTTTACTACATAATCCGCTCTGAGTCTCTAAAATAAATAATTTCGGGCATTTTGGTAATCCCTAGTATTACAAGAAGAAATATCATTGGATATAGCATATGTAAAATCTCGGGACAACCGAGTCAAAATACTAGACATTTCCATAACAGAGAGCCCACTTAGTCAAAGTATGTGCCATAGTATTACAAGTTCTAGGAATAAAACCACTTTGCAATTTATATTAGCATCCAAAATTGTAACACCTATGACCCGTATATTTATACCAATACATGTTATAGATGTCACATGATTTATTTAAAACATTTCCCAATTCAAAAGTGGCTTGATTTTTTTTTTCAAATATAATAGAAAATATAAAATAATAAATCACATAATTTTTTATAATATTTAAATATCAAATACATCTATTTATAAAAGTAATACTAAATAATATCATCCATGATGAAATAACGTAAAACAATTTAGTTTAGCCATTACAACTATTTCCAAAATAGTTAACAAAACAACTAGAACATTTATAAGTACATGCCACTAAATAAGTCAGAATTACATCAAAAGGACATCTTACTGATATTGTATTATACTCCTCGATGCTTGAGGTTGCTCAGTACTCCTTACTTATACTCCTGATAGTTACCTACGCGTGAAAATCATCACACACTAAGTATATACTTAGTGAGGCAATTTAAAAATAATAAACAATCTTTTCATGCATAAAATTTAAATGTCGTTATCAAATACCATAATATTTTCTTACCTGCCAAAATCAACATGACATGTTATAAATATAATCATTAAATCAATAACTATAGCCCAATTTATTAATCTATGAGGAACCCGATATATGAGTCAAAAATTGTGTAATAACGCTAAGGTCGAGCCATGCTCACCTAATAAATTGCACCGTAGTGCTGAGGTCTGGTCTTGCCCACCTAACTTGTATTATGTCTCTTCACTATACACATTAGTACTACTTAAATTTTCACAACTGCTAGACTCTATGGCATGCCATTAATACCACTGAACCTCAATAACATATTTGGGCATCTAATCATAAATTAAAACATCCACGGCAACGTATAACCATGAAACAAACATTAGGGTAGTTCATACCCAAAATAACATTCATGTCAAAATTTCATGCTGATAAAACAAGGTAGACTTATCACAAGTCTTCCTGATGATGTATAAAACATCTATGTACAATGTCATGCATGTATTGCACTCACCTTGACACTTTATAATTCCAAAAGATTTTGCTTCACTATGCTCCAATTTAATCCTTTTTATATTTTAGTTGTTTTGATCACAAAGTCAATCACGATTTGTACAAAATCATAAATTCATATCGATACATATGTTAGTATTGTACTAATATAAATACATTTCCAAAATAAATTCCATAATCATACTTGAAACCTATTCACCACTAAATACTTTAACACTTTTTAATTTTTTTTATTTTGGCACCAACTTTTCCAACTTATATAAAATGGTCATTCACCATTAAAATCATTGCACATCAAATATAAAAATTCCAGCACTTTAATAAAATGCTCAAATCAATACCTCAACCTTTCAAACATTTATAATTTCAACTCAAACTTTCCTAACTTTCGATTTACAACCACCAAACTTAAATAGATTTATAATTCAACTTAAGATTAGAATTTTAGTTGTATATAAGATGGCACTTGTTAAGCTTTTCTCTCTCGGTGTATATTAGCTGGGCTAATACGGGCCATCTCTTCGATTTGCTTTGATTTTTACTTTCTTCTCCAATTTCTGGTTTCTTCTTGGGATTCTGCTAAGTATGGCGGCGGAAGGCATCTCGGATTGGAGAAAACTTTTCTCGGCAGGGAATAAACAAAAACTGAACTTCTTCCCTCATTCGATAACTGAGGATTCTTGTATAGTCAAGCCTCCTCGATACGTGTTTGAGGAGGGTATTTTGGAGTGGAGATACACCATGGTTGGCCAATTCATTGGTTCAGCGCCGAGCTCCGCTTCTCTCCAAAAGACTGTTGGTCTGTTGTGGGGTAAACAGTCTCCAATGAAAGTAAGTTTAGTTGGACCGAATCTTATTGTCTTCTCATTTGTTAATTCTTTGGCTAGGGAATGGGTTTTAGAGAACGGTCTATGGCATGTTCAACATAAATCGTTTTGTCTTAGAAAGTGGGAACCTAATTTGAAGGAATTGAGCTTTGATTTATATTGTATTCCTATTTGGATCCATTTGTATAATGTGCCATTGGAGTTATTTTCGAAGAAAGGGCTAAGCTATGTAGCTAGTGCAATTGGAAAGCCACTTCACATGGATTCGATCATGGCTAATAGAGAACGATTGGAGTACGCACGAGTTTGTGTAGAAATCTCGGCTGGTTCGCGGATCCCGGATTTTATTGATGTGATGTTATGCGATGATTCAATAGCTAAGGTTAGAGTTTTTGTGCCTTGGATGCCTAATTACTGTGCAGACTGTCATCGACTTGGTCATTTGACGAAGTTTTGTACACATGAGAAGAAAATTGAGCATGTTCGGAGGGTAAATGATCCATCTCAGGATGTTAAACTAAATGAACCTGCCTTTGTACCTTCGATCATGGATGTTCCAGGTTGCTTGAATGATCTTTTAGCCAGTGGACTATCTGAATCCACCATTATTAAGGTAGATCCGACTGGAGGTTATGTTAATTCGTTGATTTTTGCTGTTGATGCTTCATTGGAGATTGATGAGGCTTGTATTGAGGATCCAATTGTAAATGCATTGCCAAATGGTTTGGTTGGGGCTTGTAATGGGGATTCAATTGCAAATGTAATGCCAAATGGAGTAGTCACTAGAAACTCGGTTACTAATTTAGCATATAATGCTATGGCATTAGCTAATCTGAGCTCTAAGTAGATTGATCTTCATGCTCAAGTTAATGACCCCCATGTGAAGAAATATAGAGGTAGGCCTTCCAAAGATAAAACTGGGGGTGGGGGTCCAAGAATAAATTTGATGTTCTTAGTTCGATTGACCCTGACAGTCTGGTTGGTGTCCCTCTTGCTGATTCTGGTAAGAAGCAGAGAGGGGTTGCTCTGGGTGTTGCTAAAGTTGTGCAGGATCTGAAGCTTAAAAAGAAGGACCAGTTGGAAAAGGTTAAAAAAGTTGAGAATCGAGGTGGTGCCTCATCCTCCGCAACTTTACCATGTTAGTTTGCTTCTAGAATATTAGGGGATTTAATAATCCCCTAAAGCAAACCAATGTGCTGAAGTGGGCTTCTAAACTTCATATTGATGTTATTTGTCTCTTGGAAATGAGAGTCAAGGAGATTAATGCTGGGGAGATCTTGTCTAAGAAGTTTCAAGGCTGGAATTTTTATTGCAATTATTGCCATGCTAAGAATGGTTGTATTTGGATTTTATGGCAAGAAGTCCTGGACTGCTCTATTTGTTCAATCTTTGAGCAGTGCATTACTTTCAAAGGTAATTACAATGATAAGTCTTTTTTCATTACTGCGATCTATGGTTCCAATGATGGTGTTGCTCGCAGGCATCTTTGGGCACAACTTAACAGTATGGATAGATTGGTGGGTAATACATCCTGGTTGATTGGGGGTGACTTTAACGTTGTCTTAAAGGTGAAAGAAAGCTCCAATCCTATTAGTTGGAATACCAACAGTGATGTAGTTGAGTTTTAGAAGTACGTTGAGGATATTGGGGTTTTTGATAATCGTTACATTGGCCCTCTGTTTACATGGTCTAATAAGCATAAGGACTCTTTCCTTGCTCGCATGTAACATTCTCAATACCGGGTTAGTGACTAAATTGTAAAAATTTAGAATTTGATGACTAAAACAGAATAATTGAATAATATTATAATTTGGTATAGGGTTAAATTGCAAAGAAGAAAGAATAGAAGGATAGAATGGTCTTTTGCAAGGAAAAATAATTAAAGAAGGGATTTATATATTAGCTCCACGTGGAAGATAAGAAAGAAAAACAAGGTTCCAGAGTTCTCTTCTTCTTTTCTTTTCTTCTTTTCTCCTAAACGTGAAGATATCATAACAAAGGTGAGATTTTTCATGAGTTAATTGTTTACTGAAATATAAGTTTTGTTTTGATCCTTATATGCTAATTAAGCTTAAGGAAAACTTAATTTTCTTTAAAACAACAAGATGAAGGGTGTAGGAAGAATTAAAGATTATGAGTTCTTGAATAGAATTTTGAAATAGAGTTCATATTTGAAATCGGAGGTTGAATTTGACTTGTCATCGACTTAATTAAGACGTACAAAGTGTTAAAATTAGATTTAGAACATGTTGGAAATTGAGGGAGATTCTTAAAATCTATGTAGAGGAATGGATTTTTAAGTTTAAGAGGTATTGAATGGGTATTAATTAGTTTAAGTAGGTATATGCAAGTTAAGGATATAAAAAGAGGGGAAATATGAAGTGTTGAGAAGATTATAAAGAGATTTTCGTGCTAAAATAACATTTCTGGGCTATGTGCAT